TCAGATAGTTTATATTTTGTAAAGGTGGCTTATGATTTTTTAACACCAAAATTTTGTATTTTGATGTGAAATGGTCTAGGATTATTTGGAGTAAACATGTTCCTTCTAAATTGAGTATTTTTGGGTGGAGATTATTTTTGAATAAGTTGACTACTAAGGAAAATTTAGGTAAGAGAAAGGTTGTTTTGATGGGGGGATGCTGGTTGCAGGTTTTGTCATGAGGAAGTGGAGCAGCTTCATCATATTTTTTGTGAGTGTAAAGGGGTGTTGTTGGTATGGATGAAGGTTTGGGGATGGTGGGGTTTGTAAAGTGTCTTGCTAAATGATATCTTTGGTTGGTGGAGTCTGTGGTGTATGGAATAAGCGGGGGGACGTCTGAAGGATTTGGCAGCTCTCATTTTTTTGGTTTGTGCTTGGTTTGTTTGGTACTGAAGGAATATAAAAGTGTTTGGAACAGCTTTGATGTTTGAAGTGCAGTTATTGGAGTCTATTCAGGTTAAATCTTTTCTATGGCTTAAAAATAAGAAGCTAGATTGTGTGTTCTCTTGTATAGATTTGTTATCAAGGTTTATGAACAATAGGGAAGCCATTGTTCAGCATCATAAAAATTTGAAAAGTTACAAGAAGCAGCAACTAGATATGGTTTGATTTATATTTGGGTTCTATTTGATTAACTTTGTTACAGTTTGTGATTGTATAGAGATGGATTTTGAACTTTGTTTAAATGGTTGTATTTAGCTGTGGAGTATTTCTTATACTCTTGAAATAATATAATTTCTATTTGATTTTACTAATAAAAAAATCATATTACAAATCTCTATCTCTTACACTGAATTGTACCTATTAAAAAAAATGAAGGTTTTTTTTTATTTTGTAACTTTACAGTACAAAATAAAGAAATAATTATTACATATTTTTATTATTAATTATATATTAATTTACATAAAAATAAAAAAATTAACATTAATTTTAATATTTATGATACATGAATATTTTTATTAAATAACTAATAAAATTATATCAATTTTTAATTTTATTATATGTGTTAATAATAAAAAATATAATAAATATACCTTTATCCTCTCCCATGCCTAATGACACAAAATAAAAAAATCTAAAAGATAATAACCCAAATATATAAAGAAAAACGTTGTCATTGTCCTTAATCTGGCCCACATATTTATGTCTCTGTGTCTGAGTTCTCTTTCTTCAATCTCTTTGACCCATCTTAAAGTTCGAGTCACTTTATCCATTAAGACACCGTAAAAACACTTTTAATGATTATTTAGCATTTTTTGCCTTGTTGTTGGACACAACTTTTACAACTGAAGAACCGGTCCATTGGAGAATTGGCCCATCGTGAGGGTAGTGAATGAAGCCCACTTAAAAATCCAGAATATTGGATTTGGATTCGGAAATGAGAGTGTGAGACAGACCGTATAAGTAACTGCCCCCCTAAGGCCCATGTATCTCAGCTGTAGGCCTATAAGGCTCTAACTACTTCATTGAGGCCTAGATAATTCATCCAAGTAAAAAGATATATGGTCCCCAAGCCCACTTTTGAGTTTATTATCATTGCTTGAATGAGTAAGAATCAGGTCCTAAGAAGAATGTTTAATAGGCCTCAAAGTGCAAGTTGGGTTGGGGATGAAAATGGATAGAGCAAAGAGACGTTTTTTTTTTTTTTTTGATACTAAGATATTATTCATTTTTTTTAACGTTATATAAGATACAACAACTATTCATACTCGTCCGACAATTTTTCATATCATTTTAAAAAATATTTATACTTTGCAAGACCCATGAAATTATTAAAATATTTTTAATTTAATAATATAAGAAATAATTTTATAAAAATATTTTATGGTCTGTTTGGTAACATGAATTTGAAAATGATGAAGCAATGGTGGGAGAGGATGAAAATGATGTAGAGTACTCAACGCCACCTGTTCCCAACCAACACAACTTTCCACATCATCTATGATAGAGTCCCATCAAAAGAAACGAAAGAAAGATCCATTGGTTGCTATTGTTGGTGACATTGCTTCATCACTCAAGGAGTAAATGAACTTGAAAAAGAAATTAAGTGGTCAAGAGATATATGAAGTGGTATCAATAGTTTTGGGTCTTTCTCAACAAGAAATATTCAAGGCAGTCCAATTGTTATTAAATGGTGATTTTGAGCAATTTCATTTGCTAAAATCACTTCCTGATGACAAGAAATATGATTGGTTGGCTTTCCTCTTAAGTTCAGATTGTATATTTAAACATAATTGCCTTTTTGTATTTTATATTTTCTAATTTATGGAATCTAATTCTTTGATCTTGTTTTGTTATTCAGGTTGATTTCTAGTTTTGTCAATTTATACAGCAAAAGAAAATGGTATGTTTTACATGAAATACATGATTTTTTCTCTCCTCCTCCGTGTTCAAATTCTTTTTTTATTTCTGGATAAATCTCTTTGGCATTTCTAGGTTTTAGATCTCTTACTTTACCTTTCATAAAGGTTTTTGCCACTATCCAGCTTCTCCAATGGAGCAATTTCAGTGCCAGTTGAAGCTGGTTTTCTACTGCTCTCAGCCATATCTACTTCCCTTGAAATCTGCTTGTTAGACACTTCATTAGCTGTTTTCTTTGTGCTGCTCTGCTTTTGTGATGGTGTTACACCTGATTCTTGATATAAGATAGAAACATGAGCTACTTAGCTTGATTTTTTTACAAGTTATCTTCTTTATTAACTGTTGTAGATCACCGAAGAAGGAAGGAGGATTGGGTGCAATCTAACCTCTTTCCTGATAGTTTTGGTTTCTGTCATGGCAACTGTAGAAGTGTTGTTTGTGTCCTTGCGACTTCTGTCTTCAGTTAGGATTTTCTCAACATTACTGCTTCCATCGACCTTTTGGATTTCCACTGACTTTTGTTTACAAAAAAAATAAAAAAAATAATAAAAAAAAAGTGATTCTACTTATGGGAAGAGACTAGTGAGAAAAGAGCAAGATGAATAAAGTTAATTCCTCCTTACTTACCTCTTCCGTTTGAATATCTTTAGCTGTGGTTTTAAATGTTGCATTGTTCTCCTCAGCACCTAGAAATCCATCCTTTAGTTGATCATCTCGGTCGCTAGCTTTCATTGTTTTCAATACATGAAATGGTATGTTAGTGGAGGTCATTGCTCCTTTTTTTCTTATCTAATTTGTTTGTCTTGAGGTGATTTAAATAATGTTTTGAAAGATTAAAATTGTTAACTTTGACTTTATTAAATTTTAATAATAATTAGAAGAATATTTAATTTAATAGAGAAATTCAATTTTAAATACATAGTATTTTTAAAATATCCTAACAATGTATTTAAAAATACATATATTTGAAATTCATTTTTTTTAATTCAATCCAAAAATGTATTTTAAAATACATAAATTTTAAATACATGTATTTCAAATACATATATTTTAATTACACTCATCAAATTCAAATTCAAGTTCCCAAACACAACCTTAATAAATTTATAAATCAAATTACATTTTTAATATATAGTTTAACATGTAAAATACTTTTTTATTTATAAAAAATTAATTTGATATGGTTTGAAATAGTTTCTCCTTCTCTCACTTTCCTTAAATTAAATAAGCTCTTAAATAATTCACTCTACATTAATTTAGTACATTTAAAGAAATTTAATATTTTAGGTGTGGACAATAAATCTTAAACTTCGTACATGACTTACAAAATAACATTTACTTACCAAAATCAACCTACTAGAGTTATATCTCACTCGTTCTAGTTGAATTCAATTGTTTCATTTTTTAAATAGAGTTAGCCTAATTTAATTGTCTTATTTTTTATTTTAACAACACATTAAATGTTAATAGTTTAATTTTACCTTTATCTTAAATAAATAAAAATTAGTTAGAAATTTTTTTATAATTATAAATAAAAGTAAAAATAAAAATATATATTTTAATTATTATAATAAATAAAATTTTAAAATTAGACAATTAAATTTAAGAGTAATAATATGTTTGCTATACATCAAACGTACATCAAACAGATGTTTGGGTTTTGGAGAGCCATTACCCCTTGCCTTCTTAGGTAAGATTCCAATATCCTTACCCTACTCATTATCCAAAACTCATTCCAATCAGATAAAAAAAAAAAAAAAAGAGTCAAATTAACCATCAAGGATGGCTAAAACTGTCATCTTCCCACTTACCATTAATTACTGTTGCAGAACAAACTGACCTCTTAATGAAAAGTTCAGACTTCAGTTCAGGCTCTATTGCTTTTAAAGAAGTTCAAACTGCATTCCACGTGCGTGGTACAATGATCACTTGCTACCCTTTGGGACAGGTCATGGTTTGCATCCCATGTTCCAGATTTAATACCCTTCCTACACACTAACACCTCTAACACATTAACACTTCTAACTATTATCCTTCTAAAAAAAAAATAAAAAAAAAACAGGTTCAAACTTGACAACTTAGTAGCTAATCCAACTCTATATGCTTATATGTTATTTTTAATGTTGACTCTTGGCTGCTTGGGTAAGGAGGCTAATGTGATGTTTGATTTAACCATCAAAAAATTGTAACTTACAACATGTCTCTTTAACCAAACAAATAATTAAAAGCATTTGAATTATAAATAATAAAAATTATTCATAATTGCATAGTAATTATTGACTATCAATAATTCTCTAATAATTAAATCAAATAAAACTTTAAACGCTGAACTAGTGAGTTATATCATTTATGCTATTAGGTTTTAGAAAGATATTGCACAAAAATTGGAAATCTATTTATATTATCTACTAAAAGCAATTCTTAATGATAACCTCATAATGTAATGTCAAATTTGAGAGCATCAAGCTTTTTCCATAATTAGTATGATTATTAATACACTGAATGGTTTTATGATTAAAAACTTAAAATTTTAAATTGAAAATATTAAATTTGAATAAGGGAAGATATGCCTCCTTATATAATCCATTATAAGATGTTAAAAAAAAATACTATGATTATTACAGAAAAAAGATGTCCAAACGGAAGTAAATTGCAGAGCATATGATACAGAGACAACATTAGAATCCACAGTTTCTTACAACCGAAGGTTCAAATCAATCTTTTGCAAATCCGGCTGTTGCTCCGGCGACTTCACATGGCGAAAACTCCCCGGCCAAATCATATCCAACGGTTCTTCGGCTGCAAACGGCGTCCAGGCCATCCCACACCCTGGGTCCACGCAAAATCTAGCCACCGTTGAAGGGCCATCTCTGTTAGGCGTGTGCATCAGGGCGTGAGGCTGGACGCCGAGAGACCGAATCGCCGGAGAATTGAACGGAAATCCCATCGTCTTCATCATAATCCGGTGAGAATGGAACCTTTTCGCCGCCCCTCTTTCTCTCTTGTGTGCGTTCTGGTGGCCGCCTAACGCCTGTGAACTGTAGAACTTCCTCATGCAGAAGTTGCATGAGAAAACCCTGTTGCCGGCCGGCTTTGACTCCAGATCAAAATCTCCGGCTGATGCCACCAGAGGCTCGTTTCTGTTCAGACCCAGACTCAATAAATCTCCCAAGTTTCCATCCCCAATTCCTGTTTCCTCTTTTTCACCAGCTTTTTGTTCAATCTGATCATGTCTTTCTTCTCCTTCTTCTTCCCTTTGGAAAGTCATGGCACAAACAACACTAAATTTGGATAAGAATACTTGGGGGAAGTTTGGGATACAGGGGACTGAG